TCTCAAAGCCGCTTTAGTTACATTTTGTTTGACGCAGTCTCATTTGTTTGCAATCAATGGTATTGATTCGAGGCGAAGTTCAAGATTCATCAACGGAAGCCTCAGCGTCCAACAGATACACACTTAAGTGTAGCATAGAGCCAGAGTTGAAAGATGTAAAAAAAAAAAATGACTTCTTGACACGCGATCGAGAGTCATTCATTATTCTGCATTCGTTTAAGTTATAATATCGTTCAAGCTAGAATGACTAGGTTGCTTTCGTGGTTTTACAATAACTTCCAGATATATACCGAAATGTGCAACAGAAGAGAACGCATTTTGGATTTTCCATGAAGGAAAGCAGGGATGGAAATCTCTCGCCTAATGTCCGATTGTACCTCTCCAGTGGGTTATTCGCGCGATTCATGATTTCAACACCTTGTTCGTTCATACTGTGCATGTTCCACAGATTTGTGTCGTTGCGGCCCAGTCTTACTTCTTGAAGTATGCCCAGAACTTGTTCCACTACAACTTTTCCCCGTCATCGGAAATGCCACACCTGACGTATTGAATCTCTTGTTAAAAATATTATAACGCATTGTCAATATCACCGTTCAAATTTTATAAACGCAAATATCACAAAAAGTTCAATACTGTGTACCTTGTTCTTTATCACCGACGTAGGAATGATAGTCAAGATATCGATCTTGTCTGAAGTAATGGCGTCGCGGATTTGGTCGATCGAAACGCAGTGGTCGAGCATACGATGGCGAATGGCCTGTCTCTAATGGAAGAGACATCTCACGATTCTCACACGGGGAAACTGCACCACGACAGTGTTTGTGAGCGCAAGTTCAAGTCACACGTCACATTTGCCGAGGTCTAACGCCTGTCCGACGCAATCATCACCAAGTTGAGAGCGTCAAGGTACGTGACGTTATCCCTTCATTCCACATGCACCAACATTACCCCAACGTATACGTCAGCGATTGACAGTCAGACATTGGGAGAACGGCTTAGGTACCCTTGTAAAGGTACCATAAACGAACAGTGAAATACTATCTGGCGTAGTAGCAAGACCAGATCACGGTGACCAAACCCCAGAATATGTATCAACTTGTCGCGCTTCGCGGGTAAACCGACGTTGAAGCGCACAAACGACCTTTGGTCGTTATCACCCAAGATACGCCCTTCCGCTGTCTTGATGGTGCGTAGTGCGCCTTCTCCAGTAGATGCACGAGTAATTTTGTATGACATTGACAGCTTGACGCTTCGAAGTCGTCTTTAGCGACTCTCCAGCGTACTCCTCGCTGATCGCAGCGTACACACGCTCCCACCGCACCGCTGGAGGAGCTTAGATGGACTGCACTGAGGCACGCTGCAGTTTCTCACGCATCTCTTGACGTACAGCTACTATCTTGGCAGGCAGTTGTAGTTGTATGCCGCACGTGTGCGCGTTGACCGTGCGCCCGCTCACGCCAAAAACAATCAATCCAGGGGTGAATCTTGGGCCGATTTTAGGGGGGCAAAATTTAAGTCTAGATTACTAGCTTAAAAGCCATACGACGATCTTCCATGGAACTAGAGGCATCTGTAACGGCGTATTTGTCAATAGTCTTGGTTAAATATCTCTTCAGTGTTAGTAACAGCAAGTTTGACAGCCGCTCATGACCTAAATCGTTCTCAAGCGTGTTTTAACTCGCTTCATAGCGCAACTACGTAATAATTTGACAGCTACGGTACTAAACGGTAATCATGTGGTTAGAGGATGTGAAGTGGGATTTGAGATTCAAAAGAGAGCCTGTTGTGCATTGTTTATAGGCGGCTCAGAATCGCCTGAAACGGCCTGTAGGCTGAGAAAAACGCAAAAAACTAAAAACGTGCAAATTATGCCCGGGAGACGTGTGCCCTCGACCCAGTAAATCATAAAATGAGGCCGAACATGACGATGATCCGGATAATTAGACTATGTCCGGATAATATGAGGGCATCGATAGCCAGCCACTACTGCTCGCGCATCATTGGTTAAACATTAACCAATGAAAACTTGCCGTTTGGCAA